ACTTTTCTCTGCGTTTCGAATCAGTTAGAATTTTGCGCCACATAGCCAAGACCATCTCTGTAGCAAACAAAAAATTCATTATATTAATTATAGTAAAAACAAATCACAACATCGGCCAAATGAAAAAACAAAAATATGAATTTCCACATAATCTCTTTTGCTGTTGATCTAATTTTCTACGAAACAGATATTCATCGAAAGAGTCAATCAAGTAAACTTTTATTTTTTGTCTAATTCAATTGAGAATGTATACCTCTATGATGACGAGATGTGCACAAGTATAGCAGTATGATGTACCAATAAGTAAACACCAATTACGAAGTATGAACTATGTAACTATACCTTCTGCGCCTTGTTTCAAAACAAGATGCTGCTTCTCACGCGATGACCTCCTGTTTTAGTAAACATTTTGTTAATTGTCGCTTTCATTAACATTATATTTTGGCATAGAAAAGAAAATTATATGATCAATTGTACCTATATATATTCACTTTAGTTCAAATAAAATCAAAGATAAAGAAACAAATAACAGTCATTGAGAATCGGTTGGCTTGAGATTTGCATCCAGACAAATTTAATAGTAAATGTGTCTTATCCTACGCAATTACTCATACAAAAATAATGACTATGTTACAGATAGATAAATATAGGTGAATTTCAACTTAGGACTCTTTTCTTTGATAATATCGAAAACAGTGGACAACAATTCAAGTATATCTCTCAAAAGACTGAATATGCATATAAGAATTCTATCTAATTAACACAAATGAATAAGAATAAGCATTGTTCTTCAAGTAACTTGGCAGCATGTCTTGTCTCACATTATCATGAATATTCATAAGTTCGTATAGATGAACTTGTCGAATTCCGTAAGTGTATTTTCACTTGTTCTGAAGAAAATCAAAGATGACAGCTACAAACAGTTCCTTTGGTTTTATTGATAATCTTGTTTTAAAGAAATACTTGGTAACATAAAATGTTTTCCATAATTGAGAAATTATGTCATGAACATGATTTCATCGAAAAATGCTAAAGGATCAAAACTCAATTCCTTGTCAATGAATAGATCTTTTATTAGACATGAAAACTTCTAATTTACTATGATTAATCAAACTGATCTAACTGAAGTTTAGTGAAGCTATCTAGTTGTAGTGACGAATAATATAAGTAGCATGTATATCGTTCAAGATTTACATAACGCATAGTCTTCATTTATGTGTTTTGAAATAAAACTGTACAATCACAAGATTCTTATTCATACATATACATTTAATATCGCTATATAAGGAATTAAACCGAATATACTAAGTGTTAGCTCGTTTCGTCGAGCGATCGATATATCTATTGATTTAAAAAGGGAAAACATCATATATATATATATAAATGTCCTCGAAGTGCATAACATCACAGAGAAAGAAGAGAAAAGAGATAGTTGTACAACAACAAAGAAAAGAAAGAGAAAACGAAAGCATCGAGGGGTATGGTGAACAGGTATCACCGTTAACACTAAGAATGATTAATGATTGGTTATGCTTTCATCTCATTTTTATACGTTTTTTAATGATATAAAGAACGAAAAAACATTTTGATCACTGTCGAATGCATCAAAAATGTAGATCTTTTATCCTTTGATGATGTGTATCACTTAGAAATTCTTCTCTCGAAAAAATACAATCGATATTTTCGAAATGGCTTACTTATAAAAAGATCTTATACCAGCAAGATATATCATTAAAGCTGACTTAAAAATTTTACATAGATCAATAAATTCTGTATTAACTAAATCTTTTAATTGATGTATGTGAAATCATACGACTCAGTTTAACATTAGCAAATATGTTTTCCACGATAAAATACTTATCAATCGTAGTTTTTAATGAATAGTTTCATGAAGGAGTCAATCACAAGAAACACAAGGTTGTCAGAAGTGTTTTTCAACTGTAGATCTTGTTACACTCAACATATTCATTAAAAAAATATTCCAATTTATTATACATATCGTGTTTTGGATACTTCCTTATATATGAACAAAAAAAAGTTTTGTCTTTAGTTTTTTTCTCTTTTATATCTATTTTCATACAGCTTGGTGTACTGTTCATAAATTTCGTACGATGCTTTTTTCATCAAAATTTGATCGAGAAACTCGAAAAGTATCAATGCATCATATTCATACGATTAGAATAATTGTTTCTGAAACTTTCTATTGGAGAAACGAGAAAATAAGGTTTCCTTCATATATTTCATAGTTTTCTCAGAGATGAAATTGAAGTTTAGTAAAGAAAGATTGCTACAGTTGATTAGCTGTTGCATAAAACCACCGAAATTCTCGATCATTTTCTATTATTCAGTAAGCAACAAATTGATGTAGAACAAATATTAAATAAAATAGGAATATAGTATGAAAATAAGTTTTCTTATAGTACGAAAGCAAGCTTATTTTGGATGTTAAGCAAATCGAATAAAAGCAAAAGACATACAATATCGAAAATAAAGTATTGTTAATATTATAAGCAGTTCATTCAAACTTAGGGTGGTGGATGTATACGTCGCAATAAACATGGGCATCGTCCCATAATGCATCGACAGAGACGGAACAAATGCCAAACCAAAACTTGTAGGATTGCAGTCAATCCACCGTACAATCCAAGCAGCGTTGTAAATATGTAGATAACAGTATTTTGTTTAGTATAATGATATTGACATGTTGATGGAGCACATAACTCAAAATATTTAGAATAATTAGCTGAATAACTGAACGACTCTAGTAAATTCTCTTCTAGAATCACACCGATCGGAGTCGTTGGTGAGAATCGCGTTGCACTACGATTAAGTGGACTGAAGGAAATATCTAAAAATCTGCTCAGCTTAGTCACACAATCATCATCATAGAAACACTCGAGCGTAGATTGAGAAAGACCACTCATGGGTGAGCATCCAACCACAAGACCTAAAATTATCAGATATCATATATATAAAAGTAGAATTCTTTCAAATCTCTTTTAATTACAGATATTTTTGAAAATCTCAATAAATGACTGTAAAATGATAGAATCTTATGAGAACACACTCGATTAAAAAATCTACCTGGTAATATTGTTGATTCATCGTTCTGATCATAAAAGATGGGCGTCTTTGTACACTTCGACATGCCACTTGCACAAAAACAAGTACCATTCATTAAAGAAACTGGACTCGTACGAAGAATGTAGTTTTCTTCTAAGCTTGAAAATTTTATTTTCCAATTTGTCATTTGTTGGTTTTGAAATTGATTAGCTTGAAGCAGATCAGAAATCCAATCATAAATATGATCTATTGAGACTATAGGACGCATAAGCTCTCCTGGGATTGACATGTTGAGCAATGCATCAAATGTTTGTAAGATCATCGCTTCCATTGATATCAAATTTTTCTGATAATCACTTAAAGGCGGAGCGAAAAGAAATAAGTTGGTCCAACATCGATATAATAGAACACCCATTTGAAGTTTAATGAAATTCACATAAGATTCTTCCAAGGATATGCTTGCTGAATAAAAAGGAGGTGACATAGATGAAGTAAACGACTGTTCATTACAGATTTCATGGATTTTATATGACATCTCTGTAATATCCCTATAATTAATAGAGACCACTGTACAAGGACATGATAAACTATCAGAATAATGAGTATGAAGAAATGAGAAGTAAGTTTTATTTGGTGATTCTACAGTGAAGAGAAATGTACGATGTTGAAATCGTATGAAAAATGAGATGATTAAGAAAGATAATACTAATAGAAAAAGATAGATACGTGTCACCAAAATTTGATATTCAATTTCAGGTTTATTTTGATACACATTTATGAAATAAAGCTTATCTCGAACATAGGCAATTAGTCTTCGATGTGCAGGAATACCTAGAATCATTTAAAATACTTCTATATTTGAAGCATAGAGCTTCTTACCTCGTGTTCGGTGAAGACACAAACGATAAATTCCATGAATAATTTCGATCAATAATGGAACCAAGAGACGTAGTACAACGGACAATCCTCCAAGTAATCCAATAACAGAGTTCACAAGAGTAACTGAATGCAATTTCTGATCAATTGTGTAAATACACACCTCTGGCTGACATTGAGTATAGTAAGATTCATAATCAGCCATTTGGATTTGTTGATCAATAAAAGCTCCCAAAACCAAATCGTTGACAAAATTCGCAGACTTAAAAGTGATCATATCGTGTGGATTAAGTGCTGTAAAATCAGTCAAGTCAATTGGTAAATAGAAATTTTCAAAACTATAAAGGCGGTTTTGAATCAGCATCTGAACACATGACTCACTGAAAAAGCATTCCAGTGTGGACGTTAAAAAAAATAAAGGTTGACAAGTTAGAAAGATGCCAGAAACAGTAGAAGCCATTTGTACATATGACGATGAGTAGCGATAGAAACCCAACGGTTGCATACAAAAGTCCGTAGCACAAGAACATGTGTCTGAATCTGATGTAGTGATAACAGATGGAACATAATATAAACTCGATGTATTATTGAACTGTTTGGAGATAATGGATGGATTAAATGAATCGAATGAAACGAAATTATTATGCGCAAATATACTTGTCACAAAATAGAGTTTGCTCCACAAGATAGCGTGAACCTAGATAAAAAAAAACATAATGAAATACAATTCTGTCAGTAAAGCTAGTATAATATTCTTTTGCTTATTCACGTTTATCTATTGATGCTGTTTCTTCATTCTACACGAGAAAAGCTTCATCAAAAGATATTCATAGTGTAGGAGAAAAGAGCATCGCAAAGATAGATGAGACTTTCGATTCGAATGAACTAATGAATCGCAAAGCGTATTGTTAATCAATCTTTTATATCTTTTTTTACCTGCACTATGAAAGAATCGGTCCAATTATGAGTTAGTTGATTGAATTCAAGTTTTGTTATGGGTTGAGAAGAGAAATAATCCTCCGCTTCGAATGCATTTAATACATCAGATACAGTTGCAGTACTGAAATCACAGAGTATTCTAATATAATTTAAGAAAGTCAATCCATCCTTCCGAAAATCGGCCCAATGGAAAGATGGAGTGTGATCGATAGTACCATTGAGAAATTCCATCGTCCAATATTGAAGCCAACGTTCATCACGAATAAAACTACTTGTACAAAATGGATGAAATTTTACTTCATAATGCATGAACTTTGATCGTGGTATTGACAAACGACTACATGGACATGATAGAATCGATGAATACATTTTATTAAGCTCTTCAAATTGGTTGATACTTGGATTTTGAACGATAACTTGTTTTGAGCCAATTACTTTAGTAGAGTAGATGGTCAATATATAAACACCGATCATCAAAAATACGATATAGGCTCGAGTAGAATAGATACCTTGCTCAACATTCGTTAAAACCGTCTTGAACAAATTAAATGTAGTAACTTTTTCATAGACTATCCTACCCATATTCCATGCACGATCTCGGTAACCTATGAAGAGAAAAATATGAGAAATAACAGAAATTTATGGAAGAAGAAATCATTTTTACTTCTGCTTGATTCAGGTTCTTCATCAGCTGTAAGCGTTCGAGTCGGTTGCTTAAATATTCGTGAAATGAATTTGACAAACAATGAACACCCAATATGCAATGCCACATTCAGTCCACCAAGGAGACTGGCTGCGACTGTGATCATGTAAATGAAAAAGAAACGTTGTATATATGAATAGGAACAGACAGTGGGTGCGCAAATCTTAAAGTAGGCAGCGAAATCAGGAAAAATCTGCCAAGATTCGAGCATTAGATTATCAAAAATATCACCGATAGTTGTTGTTGAATCAAATCGAGAAATAGAATTCGAAATATTTAGCGCAGAGACAGTACGAAGAGCTCCAGTTAATGTAATAACTATATCCAAGCATGATTGATTATAAAAACATTCTAATGTCGATTGAAGTAATGCATTTTGAGGTACACATCCAACTTGAAATCCTGGTACAACAAATAGAAGTGATGCATCATTTGAAAATGCTTCATTCGGAATAATGGCTTTTGATTGATTATAGATGCCAGCAGGGTAGATACAATTACTTGTTTGATCACATCGACATGTTTCACTTGACGTAAATGACGATTGTGTCAGATTTACCTTTTGTGGATAGACAGCAGAAAAAGTTGTATAGTTGTCACTACCAGGAACACTTCTAGTATAGAAATTTGTACGCAACGCAGATATGAAATGACTTTCGTCGATAATGGATGAAATAAAACCGTTGACTATACGAAAATTCTCAAGAGTAGTTTTGTTGAATTGGTCGACAAGTGTGTCTGTATATGTATCAAAGACGGTACGTGATAGAGCACGTGGTGAAACAAATATGGTCGTAGAAAATTCATTCAGAGCATCATATACGATGTTACGTACTATTCGACAGAGAGCAGATAAAACTTGAAATTGTGCAGAGGCCGTCAGACGAAAGTCCAGAGGATAGTAATTGCTTGTTGTCACATTGAACAAAGAAGAGACCCATTCTTCACTTATTAAATTACTTGAACAAACTTGATGAAATTGTGGATTGAATGAAAAGAATTCTTTATAAGGAAAAGATATTTGAGAGCAGCGACAAGTAAATGCATCGGGGTACCTATTCGCGATGTTCTCAAAATCACTAACCGAAGGTGAATCAACAGTAATTGCACGAGTTTGAGGGATGACAGCAGTGAATGAGAGAATCAAGAAAAGTGCTAACGAAAGAGTGACCATGAAAACGCGTGTAGATAATAGTTGATCACTCAAATTCAATTCATCGTCATCATCGTAGAGGTTCCAATTCCTGATGAAATGTATAAATAAAAGTCGATATCGAATACGAGTACTAACTTCGGTGGTCATTGATCTAGAAGAATCTGTCTTTATTACTGTATGATTAACTTAAATGCATGTGAAATGCCTAAGATTTTGAGCGTATAATGCTATCCTTCGGATAACTACGGACTACGTAAATGTGATGAATGTCATTTCATCATCTATATATTTTCTATTGTTTATATAGAAAAAAAAAACAAGTAATTAGAACTCTTCTCGGTATCAATTCATAACTATCACATTCACTTCGCCGATGAAACTACTGCTCAATATAAAAAAAGCGAGTAGTTATTTTCTGAATAATTTTTGATAGAACCATTGTAGAGTGCTGCAGCTTTCACCGTGAAAAAAAGAAGATGAAGACGTATCGAACTGTATATTACAGAGAAATTAGACCTAGTTTTATCAAAGATTTAAATCGACGTTTTTGAAAACTAACATACTCCGGAACATGACTAAAGACAATTTTCAATAATCAGATATGCATTCGAACTGCTTAATGAAGATCTTTAAAACTAGGCAAGACCCAGACTTTTACGCTTACCCGTTTCGTAGTTATAGGCATGTTATGTGAAAGTCTAAGCCGATCTTTCTATTAATTTCTATAAAAAAAAATCCCTTTTTTTGTTTTTTTTTTACTTTTAGACAAATTGATTTTCTGTTATTTTTACAGGAAACTCATTTAGAAAATATCTTAAAGAAACCTATAAGACACCCTCATGTGTATCTTTATCTCCTCTTTTCAACAGTGAAAATCGTAGCTATCTACAGTGGTTCTATCAAAACTTATTCAAAAAATACCAATCCGCCTTTTATTTTGAAATGGGCTATATTAAATAGGCATGTGTTTGTAATGTTTAAGGTTCTATTGAAATGCTGAAATAGCTCAACAAATATTATTATCGATAGTAATATAGCTACACCTTTAGTAAAATGTCATTTTTTCATTATTTTAATTGTTTGCTTTTTCTTAAACAATATACTCTTACTTGCTAGTGTGCTAAACTTCGAATTCTTGCAAAAAATTACTTCTATTCTTATTCCTACTGAGAATAGCTTTATTTGTTACAGATTGCTTTTCTTTTCAAGAGACAATTACTTTTTCTTTTTTCTTTCCTTACAAGCATATTGTTCTATTATCTAATAGAACGGTAAATAGTCGGTTTCAAGGCATTCACATTTCTATCTAGGACAATTTACTAGAATTTAAATAGGATCAATTAGTTAATTGTTGTGGCATTTGCATTCGTCGTATTATCCTATTTTTAATGATTTGTTTCGTTTTTTGGTCAGAATCAAATTTTATTTCTTGTGAGAAAGTGATATGCAGATGGCAGTTATTTTTTTTAAAGAAAGTATTCAGCTATTCATGCGTACAATTAGTTGATGAAAGTGTTGAATAAAGGAGGGGGGCGTTAAGCGATGAAATCGGCCCCCTCTCGAAATTGACTTTTACATTCTCAAATAGTCTATTGAGATGTCAAAAGTCGATTATCGTTCGAATTAACCAGTTATCCCTAGTTATGCCTGCGCCCGAGCGACTTAAAATTTTGATCTTGTCTGTTTGCTATAAGGTTGTGGTATGCAGTGTTCGCATGAAGTANTGTCCAAACGTCATTTTGAGCTGTTTAGAAAAATGGTCTCATAGTTTACGAAGCTTTCATAGAAAGGAAATGTTGGGTACATATTCGGAAAGAGCATCAAATTCTGATTCTAACAGAGTGTTTTTGCTTTCAGGAGTCGTTTCTAAGTGACGTAAAAATGGACGAATATTTTGTGCCAAGACTTTCTTGACTTACGTTATATATATATATACATATAGAGATATCCATACTATAAAAATAATTGAAAATTTCTGTTTTGTACTACAAAATTGCTTAACTCGACATGTATCTATTTTAGATATAATACATTTTGGAGAAATAATTTAAATCTGAAGGATCTCAAAGAAACATATATTCATATAAATCTTAAGTGCAGTACTTGTTTTGTCTTTTAATCTTGATGAACAATAAAAGAACAAATATATTGGTTACTCTTAATGCATATTCCTTACAAGTGACACAGTTATCTTTATTTTACTTTTACAAAGTAAAATGAATTGAACTACATAATTTTAGGGATTTTTAAACATAAGAACTCTACATTACACTATGGTGTTTATTTTTTATTAAGAAATAGCATCCATTCATATTTTTTTCGAATCGAATAGATTTAGTTTTTTTAAAAAGTTCGAACCGAACCTGTTCTACTTGTTTTCTATAAATATTCATTGAACACATGCCTTTATGTTCACCAAAGAACCATAACAACATTTTTAATCAATAACATCTTTCAATGCATTATTAAATTCAAATGATTTTTCTGATATATCCAAAAAAAAGTATTATAGATTCTATTTAATTTAAAAATAGAAGAAAGTTGTGCAGATATCTTAGTGATGGAAAGTTTAATCATCCTCTTACAGTCACGATTTTATCGAATTTCTGCTGTAAAACCTATGAAAAGTAGTTACCAATGAAATTTAAAGAATGAATATCATTTCAAGGGACATTTGTTTCCAAAAAAATGAACCATTAAGATTTGCTATTTATTTGTTCCATGATTCTAATTAATACATTGTCTTGAAAATTGTTAAATCAATAGTTAAACTATTTATATTTAAAATACAAATGTTCAAATAAAATCTGATCGAGCATTTGTGTTTGAACGAAAAGAACATCCAGATTTTTCTTTACTTTCTTTATGAGCGAAAGTAAATCGAAATCAGAGGCAGTTGTTCTCACTCTCAATAAATCACCAGGATTCACACTGTTCTTCAACAATTAATAGAAAATCTTTACGGTACATTACATGATCAGTAATATCTATCAACTGAACGATATTGTTCATCATTTTTCATCTCTCGATTTGTTTCTTTAGTATTTTAATGACTTAGACACGTCGACGAAGTCAATACGAATTTCTCACGTCAAAAAAATATAATTGAGATAATCTCACTATGATCTTCCTAATTAACATAGAACTTGTTTTATATCCTAATTCGTTGTCGTATAAGAGAAGCATAGTAGTAAATTAATGGCAAATCAGTGTTTATTTTCTTAATATTTTACGAATATCAAATACAAAGAAAAAATGTTTTCTTTCAATCAATAAATAATAAAAAGACATATCAAGTGTCAATCAAACAGATTCCGATATTGACTAAGCTGTTGCTGCTTGTTTCTGATACCGTCGTTCTTCCCAATCTTGTTCAGCAAATAATCTAGTTAATAAAGCTCAGTATTAGACGATGTTACAATACAACAAATATACTTGCATTGACATAAACAATCAATTTGTTCCGTTTGTGCAGAGTCTATATATGCAAAATTTGGTTATGCTTTATGACAAAAAAATAAAAATTGGATATCATATAAATCAATTGCAAAGCGAAGTCAAATCTTGCAAAGTTTGAATATCGTTTTCATTGATCTTATTACTTTATTTTTACAAGTGTTTAAAACTCAATCATTTCTTTTTCTATTGAATTGTATTTAATAAGTCATTTTTTATCCACAAAAAAATTGATTTCTTGTTCGAAAACCCGACTTCATTCTGTCTTTTCTAAATTGTCTTCTATAAACCAGAGACGATATGATTCTATCTACAGGTTTTGACAAACCTCGATTTCTGTTCCATTTTTGTACCAGCTTGTCATAGCTTAGATCAGCATCCGAACATGTAAAGCAAGGAGAGTACAGAAAAATGTTTTCACGTTCCTGTCTTGCTTCATCTCACTAAACGCAAAACATGAACAAACCAAGTATATAGTACAGAAAACGCATTCACATAATGAACTATTAAATCAAATTCAATGACATATGAGTACTTCTCTCTTATTCAGGCACACAAATGCCAAACACTAAGAAGTCGTGATTTTACATATATCTACATACAATAACCTTCCCTTTCTTTATAATAGATGATCAACAGACGTTTATTATATCCAGATAGATAAATATTATGAATAATTTTACATTACACTCCTCTTACATATTGACTTTCGACAGAGGATACTAAACACTAGGCATATTTTTGATTAAATATTATTCATCAATGTTACAAATTTGTATTAACTAAATAAATATGAACGGCCTTCTATTATATTGAAGGTATCATACCTTTAGAGAACCTTAACTGTTGAAATTTTCTGATGCAGTAGTCTTCTATCACAGTAGTAAGATTGTGAACGACAATCGTTTGAAATAAGACGAATAAGCTACAATACTAATCATGTAAATTTCATTATCACAGATGGCGTTCAAAAATGTTCCTTTTCCATTCGATTTGGCCTTCTTCAATTTTCTCTCGGTTTCCAATCGTTTCGAATTTTGCGACATCTAACCAAGATCATCTCTAGATCAAATCAAAAATTCATTTCTTTTGCTATTGATCTAATTTTCTACGAAGCAGATATTCATTGAAAGAGTCAATCAACTAAACTTTTATTTTTTGTCTAATTCATGGAAAAAATACGATCGATATTTTTGAAATGGCTTACTTATAAAAAGATCTTATACCAGTAAGATATATCATTATAGCTGACCTAAAACTTTTACATAGATCAATAAATTTTGTATTAACTAAATCTTTTAATCCATGTATGTGAAATCATACGACTTAGTTTAACATTAGCAAATATGTTTTGCACGATAAAATACTTATCAATCGTAGTTTTTAATAGATAGTTTCATGAAGGAGTCAATCACAAGAAACACAAGGTTGTCAGAAGTGTTTTTCAACTGTAGATCTTGTTATACTGAACATATTCATTACAAAAATATTTCAATTTATTATACATATTGTGTTTTGGATACTTCATTATATATATGAACAAAAAAAGAGTTTTGTCTTTAGTTTTTTCTCTTTTACATCTATTTTCATACAGCTTGTTGTGCTGTTCATAAATTTCGTACGATTAGAATAACTGTTTCTGAAACTTTCTATTGGAGAATCGAGAAAATAAGATTTCCTTAATACATTTC